CCATGCATATTATTGGATCACAGTGCAATGGAATTAGAAATCAATGGCAAAAGAAGCCAGAAAAACTACATAAACATATGGAAATTAAACAATAGCCTCATAACCAATGGGTCACAGATGAAATTAAAGAAGAAATTAGAGTTTCTACAATTAAACAATAATGCCAATATGACATATCAGAACTAATGGGACACAATGAAAGCAGTTCTATGAAAGAAATTTATAATGGTAAGTTCTCACATCAGAAAAGATAGAGCTAGCCCCAATAAACAGCCTAATGTTCAATCTCAATATTTTAGAAAAAGAAGAGCGAATTAAACCCAAAGTATGTACAAGGGAGGACATTATAAAGAACAGAGCAGAAATTAATGCAATGGAAACTAAGAAAACAATACAAAGAATCAATGAATCAAAGAGATTAAAGGATTTGAAAGATTAAATAATATAGACAAACCCGTAGTCAACCTCATTAAAAAAAGAAAAGAAAAAAAACCCTCAAACTCATGTAATTAGGAATGAAAAGGGCAAAATCACAATGGACCCTGCAGAAATCCACAAGATCATCAGTATTTACTTTGAGAACCTGTACAGCAATAAGATGGAAAACTCAGAAGAAATGGACAGATTCCTGGATATATATGAATTACTAAAGCTGAATCAAGAAGATATAAAAATTTTAATTCAATAGCAGTCAATGAAATTGAAGAAGTAATTAAAAAAAACTATCAACAAAGAAAAGCTCAGGTGCTGACAGAGTCACTGCTGAATTCTATAAGAAATTTAGAGAAGCTGGAATGTGACTGGTCCGCAAACTGTATTGAAATTGGAAGGGAAGCAATACTCCAAAACTCATTCCTGGAAGCAAGCATTACCTTGATACCAAAACCAGAGAAGGATCCAAACAAAAAAGAGAACTACAGGCCAATCTCCTTAATGAACATAGATGTAAAAATCCTAAATAAGATACCAGCAAACAGAATGCAGCAAATCATCAAGAAGATTATACACCATGACCAAGTAGGATTCATCCTAGGAATGCAGGGATGGTTCAACACATGTAAATCAATAAATGTAATACACTACATTAACTGAACCAAGGACAAAACCCACATGATCATCTCATAATATCTCTGTCTCTCTCTTTTTTTTTTTGGTACCAGGGATCAAACTCGGGTCCTTGCGCTTGCAAGGCAGGCGCCGGAACCACTGAGCTAAATCCCCGGCCCTACATGATCATCTCAATAAATGCAGAAAAAGCATTTGACAATGTTAAAAACCCCTTCATGATAGAAAACCCTACAGAAAACTGGAATAGAAGGTCTTTATCTCAATCTGATAAAAGCCATCTATGACAAACCAACAGCCAACATCATACTAAATGGACAAAAATTGAAAGTTTTCATTCTAAAATCAGGAACAAGACAAGGATGCCCAGCATTACCACTTCTATTTAATATACTTCTGAAAAGAATAGCCAGAGCAATTAGACAAGGGAAAAGAAAGGCATATGGATAGGAAAGGAAGAAGTTAGGGACAGGGATTTAGTTCAGTGGTTCCTCCTCCTGCCTCACAAGCGCAAGGTCCTGAGTTCAATCCCTGGTACCGAAAAAAGAAAGAAAGGAAGAAGTTAAATTATCATTATTTGGTGATGACATGACACTCTATATAGAAGACCCCAAAACTCCACCAAAAGATTGCTAGAATTAATAATCAAATTAGGCAGCATAGGAGGATACAAAGTCAACACTTAAAAATCAATAGCATTGTCAGGTGTGGTGGTGAAGGCCTGCAATCCCACCACTCGGGAGCCCAAGGCAGGAGGATTCCTGGGAGTTTGAGGCCAGCCTGAGATACAAAAACTGTCTCAAAAAAAAAAAAAATAGCATTCCAGTACACAAATAACAAACTCACTAAGAGACAAATTAGGGAAACAACACCTTTCACAGTAGCATCAAGAAAAATGAAATACTTAGGGATCAATCTAACAAAGGAAATAAGACCTTTACATTGAAAATTACAGTACTCTGAAAAAGGAGATAGAAGAGGATAGAATAATATGGATAGACATCCTCTGTTCTTGGATAGGTAGAACTAAAACAGTGAAAATGGCCACACTTCCAAAACTATTACACAGATTTAATGCAATCTGATCAAAATAACAATAGCATACCTCACAGAACTAGAGAAAACAATCAGAAAATTCATTTGGAATCAGAAGAGACCTAGAATAGCAAAAGCAATTCTAGGCAACAAAGGCAAGGCAGGGGCATCACAATGTCTGACTTAAACCTAGATCCATATCTCTCACCATGAACTAAACTACAATTAAAATAGATCAAAGATCTAAATATTAAAACAGAAATGCTGAATCTGCTGGAAGAGGCAATAGGTAAAACTCTGAAGACAGAGGTGTAGGCAAGGACTTCATGAACTGAAGCTTGATCACACAGGAAAGAGTGAAAAACTGGGATCACATTAAGTTGAGAAGCTTTTGGACAGCAAAAGAAAACCACCAACAGAGTGAAGAGACAGCCCATAGAATGGGAAAAAACTTTTACCAGTTACTTCTCAGAGGACTAACATCTAAAATATATAAAGAACTCAAAAAAAAATCAGAATCATCCCCAAATTTAAAGACCCAAGGGCCGGGGATTTAGCTCAGTGGTTTCACCTGCTGCACAAGAGCAAGGACCCGAGTTCGATCCCTGGTACCAAAAAAAAAAAAAAAAAAAAAAAAGACCCAATCCAAATTAGGCATCTGAAATGAACAGACACTTCTCAGATGAAATAAAAACAGCAAATAAATACGGAAAAGTGGTCAACAGTACCGGTCAGTCGAGAGATGCAAATTAAATTAACACTGAGATTCCATCTCAGTACAGAAAGAAATCAACCAAGAACAAATGCTGATTAGTTTGTGAGGAAAAAGGAGCCTTTCTCCATGCTGGAGGGAGTGTAAACTAGCAGAACCACTGTGGAGGTCAGCATGGAGGTTCCTCAGAAAACGGAAAACAGAAATTCCATTTGACCCAGCTATTCCCCTCCTAAGTATTTTCCCAAAGAGTTGAAAACATCATACCACAGTGATACATGCACACTATGTTCATAGCAGCACAATTTACAGTAGCCAAATCTTAGAAAGGGCCCAGATGCCCATCAACAGATGAACAGATAAATAATATGTGTTATTTACACCCAGTGGAATACCAATGCCATAAAGGACAAACTTGAGTTAACTGTAGGAAAATGGATGCACCTCAGACCACAACCTTAAGTGAAATGAATCGGACACATAAGCTTATATATCGCATTTTTCTCCTATGTGAGAAACCCAAAGGATAAATAAAGAGCCTACTGGATGACAGATACTGGAAAGTTGGAAGAAAATGTTCAAATGGGAAGGGAATAAGGGAGGGGGAAGGAAAGGAAGTAAAAAGAGAAAAAAAGAGGATGGAAGGAACAAAATGGAAACAAAGCTTTTATAAGTGGGAAGGGGAAGAAGGATTGAAGGGAGGGGAGTGGGAAAAAAAAGAATCAAGATATATTACAAATTCCCAACGATGAATGTGATCAGTATGTATGACAAATATGCATGAATAGAAAATATAAGGATAACAAAAACAAAAACAAAAACAAAATTAAAAAATTCACTGAGGTTCAACTGACAGACAATGAACCACACATTTTAAAAAGGCACAGTGTGGAGACTGGGGTGGAGCTCACTGGCGGAGGGTTGGGCCACATGTGCAGGTTTGATCCCCTGCACTGAAAAGCAAAACAAAACCATAACAGATGAGATCGGGCGTGTTCAGGGTGGTATGGCCATGGACAACAAAACCATAACAAACCCCCCCAAAACCCTAAGGACTTTTTAAAAAAGTTTTTTGAGTCAGAGTCTTGCTATGTAGTTCAGGCTGGCCTAGAGTTCATGGCGATCCTCCTGCCTCAGCCTGCTGGGTGCTGGGATTATGCCCGGCAGCAGCTGATAAACTGAAAGGAACTCAGTGGCTCAGAGGTTATGTATCTGCAAATGCAGGCAGGAGGACCTGGAGCCAGCGAGTAGGAACTACCTATGTACAGAGCACTAGATGGACAGAAGAGGGTCTGGGGGCAGGGAGAGGTCGCTGGGGCTCTGTGGTCCTGCAGGAGAAGAGTGGGAGGGGAGGATGGCGAGAGGTCTGCAGACCAGGGAGACAGAGGGAAGGGCCGGTGTGCAGCAGTCTTACTTTCCTCTTCAAGTCACACCGCAGGCTGGGGGCATAGCTCACGGGGAGCACTTACCAAAGGCATAAGGTAGGCCCTGGGTTCAGCCCTCAGCACAAAACAAAACAAAACAAGTACTGTAACATGTTACACTCTACACACCAGCAAATGTGGGCATGTTCCCGAAAGATGTGATTTTTAGTGCATCAATAAAATTATGCCAGCGGGGTGGGGTGGCACACTCTGTAATCCCAGCATCTGGGAGGCTGAGCCAGCAAGATCGCTGCGAGTTTGAGGTCAACATGAACTAACTACACAGTGAGTTCAAGGCCTGCCTGAACTCCATAGTGACAACCTGTCTCAAAAACAAAAACAAAACAAAAGAACATGGTAGTCTCACAGCCCCACATCTGACCCCCAATCTCAAGAAACTCTGCCAGAGCGTCCCCAAGTGCCTGGGAGGAGCAGGGGTCGGGCCACAGCCCCAGAAGTAGCAGCCACTGGAAAGGGTGCCACAGGTCAGACCCCGTTCAAACCCACTGCTCTTTATTATGTCTCCAATCTAGGGCCATTAAGAAGAGGCTCTTTCTGAGGCTTGGTTTCTTTTGCTTTAAAAATGAAGACAATGCTTATTTGGCAGAGGTGCTATGAAGATTAAATAAATGAACAGAAAGCAGGAAACAGCAACCGGCTGGTACAATGAGCATGCTTTGTAATGGTAGCTATTACTCTTACATTTGGGCAATAATTCATAAAACATTTACCAAGAAAAGAGCCAGAATTTTATGCTTATACTTTTTAAAATTTATTTCTAAATAAGAAAATGACATGGCCAGGAGAGGATTAGGTAAAGTTAAGCATGAGGAAGTTGACAGTAGCCAAGAGGAAAGCAACGCAGCAAACATCTATCAGGGATCTTTTTGGTGGTTGCCCACACCTGTAATCCCAGTATCTGGGAGGCTGAGGCAGGAAGGCCACTGAGTTTGAGATCAGACTTCGGGTATGTAGTGAGTTCAAGGCCAGTGTGAAGTACATAGTGAGACCTTGTCTCAAAAAACCCAACCCTCCCCAAAAAACCTGGGGTGTAGCTGGGTATGGTGGCACATGTCTGTAATATCAGCATTCTGGAGGCTGAGGCAGGAGGACTGATGCAAGTTTGACAGCCTGAACTATATAGTGAGACCCTGTCTCAAAAAACTAAAAACACAGTAATATTTCTTGATATTTGTGTTATGATATTTAAACTCAAAATTTATGTAGTCCAGAAAGTTTAGTCATCAAAATATTTATAAGCCACACTCATAAAATGCACTGAAATAGGTTTGGGATTTAGCTCAGTGGTTCTGCCGCCTGCCTCCTAACCTCAAGGTTCCGTGTTTGATCCCCAGTACCAAAAAAAAAAAAAAAAAAAGCACTTAATATTTACAGAAATACCAAAATGTAAGTCATAGGACCTAAGATATTTATTTTGTAATAAAATAGATAAAACCAAAAATAAAGTATAATATTATTTGCACTTTACATATTTTGATTATGCTGAAATTTGTTAATTTAACATTAGATAAAATATTAAGTTACTTATTTAAAAAATGCCAAGTATCTCTTTTTTGTTGTTTTTTGAGACAGGGTTTTGCTTTGTTCAGGCTGGCCTTGAACTCACAGCGATTCATTCCTGCCTCAGCCTCCCAAGTGCTGGGATCACAGACGAGCACCACCATGCCGGGCAAAGTACATTATTAAGATGATTTTTTTCCCATCAGGAAAAGGACTTCAGGAATAAATAATGATATAGCCCCCCCTCCCCCCAAAAAGTGAAAAAATGGTATAGCAAGCACTTCCAATCCACTAGGTCTTAACTGTGGACTGGCTCAGTGGGAAATGCTTGCCTAGCAGGTAAGGGCTAGAGCTGCTCCTTCGCAGTGTAGCCTGCTGTCTTCTTCTGCTTCTTAGACCATTCGGGTGCTTCCTTCTTAGTCTGAAAGAGAAAATCAAATACAATGCTTAGAGGGAGAAGAGAGGCAACCCAGGGAACTGCGCAGACTCCACTCCATTCACAGCTGCTCTTCTCCACTCAGAAGGCGGTGGAGGCCTGGTGGGAGCTCCCACCCGAGGATTCACAGGACATCCCTCCTTCGTGCTTCCGGCTTCCAGCCCATGGCTACACAGATGATTTACATACTAATTCAGTCCTTACATAATTTATACAACCAAGGACACAATTTTCTTTTAATTGTCTTATTTATATGTGGGTATTTGTTCACTCAATATTTACTGAAGAACTGTTATACCAAATCATTGTGCTTTGACTCTTCTGAGCTGCTAAGCATTTACCAGAGTGCTTCTTTGGTTTTTGTTTCACGACTCCAATGTGAAAACAGCTGGGCCAAGAAAAGAGCAGGCGAGGGGAACTAGCACAAAGTGAGACATTCAGAATCCTTGGATGAGTCCTGATTCTGATATCACTTACTATAATCAATGAAATATGCAGTTTACGCCTTGCCCACTCACATCTGCTAAGAACTATGAAGAACGTACTTCAAAGTACGTATGTACATATGAACACAGAAAAGTATGACAGCGTATAACCTTTTTTGGCTCTTCTGAGATAGTCTCAGTACGTAGTTCAGGCTGGCCTTGACCTCAGTATGTAGCCCAGGTGGGCCTTGCACTTACAGTAATCCTCTTGCCTCAGCCTCCCAAGTGCTGGGATCACAGCTGTGCACCACCATGCCTGGATATTTTTTTTAGACTTTAAGCAGTTTTTGGTGTATGATAAAACTGAGAAGTTAGAGACTTCCCTCCCCAACACGTGCCTACTCTCCTGTGTTATCAACACCCTTCCTCACATTGGCACATCTATCAGGAAGTGCACACCACTGTCACTCAGAACCCCGCGTTTACACCAGGCTTCACTCCTGGTGGCGTGCAGTCTATGGGTTTGGACAAAGGTCTAAGGACACGCACACATTATCACCAGGCATAGTGGCACATGCCTGTAATCCCAGCCCTCAGGATGCCGAGGCAGGAAGATTATCACAAATGTGAGGCCAGCCTGGTGCGTTCAAGGCCAGCCTGAACCATGCAGTGAGATCCTGTTTCAAAAAGTAAAAATGAACAAACAAAACAACAAAATGAAGACATGTACACATTATAGTATCATATGAAATAGTTTGCTTGCCCTTAAAAATTCTCATACATTTTTGCATTTATGTTTGTTATGTTTATTGGGCTGTAGTTTTCTCTCCCTGTACTATTTCTGGCATAATGGTAATAGCCAGGAAGTATTCCATTTGTTTCTATCTTTTGAAAGAGACTGTAAAGAACTGGTATAATTTCTTCCTTAAATTTATCTGGTCAATCCACCAGGGAACCCGTTTTTGGAAGGTTGTGCATTATTGATTCAGTTCGTCCCCTCCTTTGCAAGCTTTGACAGACTGTATCTCCTGTCTTCCAGGGACTGGACCTGTTATCTGCACTCTTGACCTTGTGGGCACACAGCTGCTCACAGTATTCCTTCACTCTCTTGGAAAATGTCCCCAGGATGCATGGCCATGCGCCCTTTGCATCTCAGAGCCTAGCAATGTGTAGACTCTTCCTTACTGGCCCATGTGCAGCAGACCCACTGTCACACACCTGCTCCCTGCCTCGGGGACCTGGGAGCCCCAGAACTCCCTGTCATGCAAATACTCTCAGGCTTGACATTTTGGTGGCAGGGCCAGGGATGAAAGGTAGGTCCTCAGCCCAGAGCTACATCGCCAGCCCTATGTGCTCCTCCTCAGTCACAGAATTGATTTTAAAAATTTCGTCAGGAGAGCAATGGGCTAGTCTGGTTGGAAATGACATCGATCAGCCCCTTTGCTGCTCCCTGTTGCCAGGCGTGGTGGTGTACCCCTGTGGTTGCACAACTCAGCTGCCTGACGCAGGGGGATCACAGAGAATTTGAGGCTGGCCTGGGGTACATTATGAGTTCCAGGCCAGCATGAACGACAAACAAGAAACCAAAACCAAAACCAACAAAAATAGCAACAAAAAAGTTCTAGCCAATGGGAGACAAGACATGTTGAGATGCTGGGTAGAACTTCCAGGGCAACTCCTTTAGAAAGGGATTGTCACCCTCTTCTCTGACTTGCTGCTTGGAATGCAGAGGTGAGGGATTCAAAGAATGGAAGACATATTCTAAGAGCTGTTGATGACCCTGATAGGACACTAGGCTGGAACGCTTATCTTCAGGGCTTTATCTGGAAGATGGGCCAATTTGCTAAAGCTGCGGAACAGGTGGGACATGGGCTCAAGGAGGAGACTCTTATCTCCAAACAGCTACTGTGCCTAGCAGTCTATCCCAGGAGAGGAAGGGTGGCTGCTGCAGTGGGTGCTGGCCTTGCCCTTGGGTCTCCTGTTCCCCGCAGAAGCCGACAGGTGCAGGTTGGGACTTCCAAGGCTGCGCAGAGAATAACGGTGCAATGGAGGTAAAGCATGGAGGCCACAACAGACACTATTTTTTGCTTTTATTTTTCAGTACCAGGGATGGAAGCCAGGACCTTTACGCTGAACTACAACTCCAGCACTTTTAAAAATTTTGAGACAGGCTAAGACTTATCTGGCTAAGTCTGCTAAGTTGCTCAGGTTGGGTTGGAACTTGTGATCCTTCTGCCTCAGCCTCCCAGAGTTCTTACCAACATGCATCATCACACCTGGCCTGGAGGCAGGATTTTTTTAATGGTAGTAAAGTTTACTGGCTCTGAGTTTGGGCCAAGTAAAACTAGGAAAGAAAGTATACTCTACGGCGGTGGCCGTGTGAGGGTGGGGCACCAGGCAAGAGAGAACACAGCGGCCTAGAGGCAGGAATTCTTTTATGTTTCCCTCCTACAATAGTACCTGGCACACAGTAAATGCTCAATGAATATTAAAAAAAAATGAATCCCTTGATTCTATATGACTAACCCCCAATATAGGCCAACTTAGTAGAAAGGCTCCCTTATGTTGGGAACAAAGAAATCACTTTTTGTTTTTTGGTACCGGGGATTGAACTCGGGTCCTTCCACTTGCGAGGTAGGTGGCAAAACCACTGAGCTAGATTCCCGGCCCAAAGAAATCACTTCTATTCTCATTGGCATAACTCTACTCAATACTTGGGATGGACACCCCCAAGCAATATATACACAAAACTTTACAGGCCAAAGACTTGTAAAAGCCCCCAATGGCACTCACTGGTCCTGTGGAACCAACCTGTGGCCCTGGCGACCCCCTGGATGGATAGGGAGAGGCATGCTGGGATTTGTGTGGTTACAAGGCAAGAGTGTCAAAAGTATCAACAAACCTGCAAACGTACCTGTCTACGACACTGATGGTCTAGAAGTGTGTTTCACTGTACAATCATTTGGCTTCTATCTTTTTCCCTTCCCTAGGATTAGAAGATACCATACAACACATGAAGGCCTAACTAATTATACTCAGTGGGCCTTAAACAACACCTTGACTTGTCTCTCTCCTGAATGAGGAAGTAAAACTGAGGCAAGTTGTCCTCCAAAATCGAATGGCACTAGACATTCTTTTTTTTTTTTTTCAGTACCAGGGATTGAACTCAGGACCTTGTACTTGCCAGTCAGGCACGGTGCCACTGAGCTACATCCTCGGCCTGGCACTAGACATTTTAACAGCAGCACAAAGGGGCATCTGTGGGCGGGGGATGTAGCTCAGTAGGGCTGGGGATTTAGCTCAGTAGTTCCACCGCTTGCCTCGAAAGCACAAGGTCCTGAGTTCGATCACCAGTACCAAAAAAAGAAAGAAACAAAAAAACAAAAAAACAAAGGGGCATTTGTGAAACTGTAAAAGCTGTATGTTGTGTGTACGTTCCTGATCCTTCTGCTAATATCTTGATGGGTCTTCAAGATATTAAATGACAGGTTAATGCCATGTTTGATTCTGAAATTTCTTGGACCTCCTCCTTACCTTCTTTGTGGAAGGCTTTTATTGGCTTTTCCTAGTGGAAACATTTATTGGTTGTATTCATAATAATCTTGTTGATCTTATTATTTGGCCCATGCATATCTAACTGTTTGGTCTTGTCTCCTCCAGGCTTAAAGCTATATGCCTACCCAAGATGAGAATGCCTGGTGTCTATTGAGGACCTTTAGATAGACCCTCTGGAGTATCACTGACTGCCAATCACAACTATGACCCTGTTCAGCTGGAAGTAGCCAGAATGGTCATCACCCCTTGTCCCCTCATGGTAGTTAGGGGTAACTCTTCAGAGGAGGTAATATTATAGACAGCTAAGTTAGGTAGAAGTATTGTAGGCAGGCAGTCAGGGCTAGGGTCTTGGAGTCAGGGCAGAAGATGAGAACACATCAAAGCTGTGGATGGAGTCGAAGAAGATTAAGGTCCAGATTTGCATGCTTCCCTTCCCTGGGGGATAGAAGGAGGCTTGAGATTATTGGTACTACTCTTTTGAGATTTCTTATATAAATAAACCATTATCTCATTAGGGTAGGCTGTCCTCTCCCACCAAGACTAAGACTGTGGATTATCCATTAAGATTAATGATATCATCCATGTACACTTGCTATGTAACTTGCTTCCCACTGGATCAACATTACCTATGCCACTATACTTGTAATCTTATTGGTTGATCATAATTTTGTACCCACCTTGTGATTTTGCTCTATAAAACTTCCTCTGTAATGTGGAGTCTGAGCAACCTACTTTCTGGGTCCCCTCCTGTCTCTCAGGAGCTGTCTCTCCCTCAACAAATTTTCTACTCTTAAAAAAACAAAACAAAAGGGCCCGTGATTTAGCTCAGTGGTGCTGTTGCAGCCTTGCAAGCACAAGGGCCTGAGTTCGATCCCTGGTACCAGAAAACCAAAAAACCAAAACTAAAACAAAAAATGATAAAAAATGAATCCCTCCTGGGATCAAATTTGCAGACCCTCTTGCCTCAGCCTGCTGATTGCTGAGATTACAGGCATGTGCCACTCTGCCTAAGAATTTTTTTAAAGAATTTTTAAAAGAATGGTTTATTTTTAAAGAAACATAAAAACAAACAGATAAACCAAATGCAATACAGGCTGTATGTAGTTCATGAAGTCCGAATTATTTACTGTCTAACCCTTTAAGGATGGACTTTGCTAATTCTCAATAGCCAAATGATAAAATGGAGATGATCATTCAGAGAGCTAAGCGGTGGAGCAGGCCTGTAGTTCCAGCACTGTGGAAGCTGGAGGCAGGAGGATCATGAATCCAAGCCCAGCCTGGGTGGGAAACTTAGCACTTTAGTAAAACCCTGTCTCAAAATTAAAAAAAAAAAAAAATTCAAACAAATATACAGTTAACTCCTTTTTATTTTGATAATTCAACTTTCAGCTTTTATTTCATTTCTTGTTTTTTTGAGACAGGGTCTCGCAATGAATTCCACACTGGCCTCAAACTCATGGCGATCCTCTTGCCTTAGCCTCCCAAGTGCTGAGATTACAAGCATGTGCCACAACACTCTGTTCTCTTAGCTTTTGTTTTTGTTTTTTTTGGTACTGGGGATCGAACTCAGGACCTTGGCACTTTCCAGGCAGGCAGCGACACCACTGAGCTAAATCTCTGGCCCCTCTCTTAGCTTTTGAATAATAGTATTTTAAAATTCTAGTTCTTAAAGTCACTTACCTTTCATACCCATAAAATGGTGCTTTATATAACAAAGTTTGATATGTCTCCTCAGTTGTTAACAGAATTAATCTCTTAACAAGGAAACATGGCCAGCCTTATTTTAAATTTCAGACTCCAGGCTCTCTTCGATGAAGGTGTACGTCTGCACATAACACTGGACAAACACATCACTTAGAGATCACCATTCTCCTCAGTACTGAGGATTGAACCTGGGCCTCTGCAGGGCACAGAGCCACATCTCGAGCCCCCATTTAATCTTGAGAGACAATCTGGCTAACCTGGCCAAACTGGGCTTGAACTTGCGATCTCCTGCCTCAGCCCTGGGATTACAGATGTGTGCCACAGGCCTGGCTAAAAAGAACCTTTCATAATCAGAACTCTGCCTGAATTTGCAAATGCTGGTTTAAGATAATTATATTTATAATTTTATAAAGAAACAGTGAAAATTAATAAGATCCTAAGCTGTCATAGAGTATTAACAGGTTCCACAGTGAACTGAACTGCAGATTTGGGTAAGAGCTCAGAAGGCTGTCACGATGCACTGGAAACTACCAGCAGTAATTCGCCATGTTATAAGGCCATTCTGGAGGGAAGATCCTGATAAGATAGGTCCCTTTGTGTCACCCAGAACAGTAATGTATAACTGGGGGAATAACACACTGAGAGTGTTTGTTAAAATTAGAACGATGACTGGTAAAAGCAGACGGAGTAAGTCTGGTGGATTATTCCTGGAATCCAGAAAAAGAGCTAGAGATTAAGAATCTATTAGTGTTTAACCAGTACCACTTCCTAAGGAAAAGAAAGGCTGTGATGGGCAGATATAATTACTTTGTTTTCCACAAGAGTCAGAGGCTGCGACTGAAATAAGTAAATGTTTCTGAGTCCTCCGAGGTGAGGCAAGGTGAGGCAAGGCAGGACCCAGCGTCCATTAGTCTAGGACGGCTGATGGGGCTTGGTTCCAGTGAAGTGCAAGGCTCGCTGAGACTGCAGCCTCGTCTCCCTCACTCCAAGCTCAGCTAGAATTAACTTCTTGCTTTCCTTTCCTTTTTATTTTTCAACTTTTTTTTCTTATTTTATTGCCTAAAAAAATATTTTTGTCTTCATTGGAAATGAATATATTATTCAAGATAATAAAATAGAAAGTATGTAATAGAAGTAATGAACCTTTTAACCACTGATCGTTGGCTGCCAGCTTAGAAAGATTAATTCTGTAGCTCAATACCAAAAGAAATTTATTTTTATATGTAATATAATCACCAACCTTTTTCTTTTTTTTTTGGTACCAGGGATGGAACTCGAGTTCTTGCGCTTGCGAGGCAGGCGGTGGAACCACTGAGCTAAATCCCCAGCCCCACCAACCTGTTTTTAAAAAAAATTTATTATTTTTACCACCTAATATATACTTCCTTTGGATGATCATATCTTTAAGTATAATGTGGTATTAACAGGGTTTAAGACTTTTACTTTTTAACTTTGAAAAATTTATTTATTTTATTAGTATGAACTTGAAGTATATTCATCATGGGGAGTTGGTGCATGTACACAAAACATCTTACTTGTTTTTACTCCCCCTCTACTTCCTCCTCACTCCCTCTTTTTTTTTTTTTTTTTTTGGTGCATGTACACAAAACATCTTACTTGTTTTTACTCCCCCTCTACTTCCTCCTCACTCCCTCTTTTTTTTTTTTTTTTTTGTGGTACTGGTTGTTGAACCCAGGGCCTTCGCGCTGAGCTACATTGTAAGCCTGCCTATCTGTCTGTCTATCCATCCATCCATCCGTGAGACAGGGTCTAGTTATGTAGCCCAGGCTAGCCTCTAACTTGCGGAAATCCTGCCTCAGCTTCTTGAGTGCTGGGATCACAGGTATGCCTCACCATGCCTGGCTCTCTTACTTATTTTGAGACAGAGTCTTGGTAGTTTGTTAAGCTGCCCATACTGGGCTAGAAGGTGCAATGGTCAGGCCTGAGTGCTGGGATTACAGGAGTCCACCACTGCTCATGGCTTAGAAATTGCTTATTTTGGGCCAGGGATATAGCTCAGTGGTGCCGAGGTCCTGAGTTCGATCCCTAGTATGTGCGTGCGTGTGTGTGTGTGTGTGTGTTAAGAAATTGCTTATTTCTAACGGTTTACCAGCTAAATGGCACCAGGAAAAGGTTGCAATTAGCATTCCTAACACTAGAAACTGAAAACTTAGTATTTTAAAAAAATGTAAATGTACACAGCTAGCTGTCTTGAGGTCTGTTCAGGATCTTGGTCAATGAGTCCCAATTCCAGAGCTTCTGAGCACAGATGTTTAGAGAAAGTGTACTAGGTATGTTGAGCACTGGTCCTCTCAGTGGCCTAGGTCTGGGGTGCTTGGAGCCCCTTCCATTTGTCAGAAGAAGGCAGTTACCCTATGTGCCCCGCAGCTCCCCTAGCTCTGATTGCAACCATTCTCATGGCACAGAGCAGTGGCACTAGGTACATTAACAGTGTCACGCAATAATTGCTACAGTTGCCTGTGGAATGCTTCAGCTTGCACGACTGGATATCTACAATTAAACCCTAGCTGAGCATGGTGGCACACGTCTGTTATCCCAGCACTCTGGGAAGCTGATGCAGGAGGAGCTCGAGTCTGAGTCAAGCCTGGCCAACACAGTGAGATTCTCCCTCAAAAAAAAAAAAAAAAAAGATTGGCGATATAGCTCAGAGTGAAGGCACTGGGTCCACTCCTGAGCACTGAAAAACAAAAACCAGACAACAACATG